CGCTGCTCTTCTTCATTCGTTCCTCTTGCTGTGTGTCTTTTTTTGTCTCTCTTCTTCTTTTTTTTTTCCAGCTGGAGCTCGTTACGGAGCTGTGGCCCGTCCTGTTGGACCGCAGCACGCAGCAGGGGGAAGCGCAGTTCCAGCGGTACGGGCACGCCGCCATGTCCCTGCTCCGACAGGTATGATCATCATGCGTGGCCCCCACCAGAGCAACCCACGTTTCTTCATGCAGACCCGTTGTACGAGTATGAAACCTTCTTACAGCAAGTGTGATAGCTGCACTCAAGCCTCACGGATGGTGGAATTCGCGGGAGGATGCTGGGGTCGGGTGGTGATTTAATAGCAAGGCTCACGCTTGAATGGCGCGCTCATTTTTATTCTTTTTTTTGTTGTTGTCATTTTCTGTACGTTGCTCTCTGGCGACGATGCTGCTGCGCACACTGCCGTGCTCCCACGTCCCCTTCACGGGAATGCACACGTGACTTTTGTTGATTGTTGTGTGTCTCTAGTGAGCGAATCAAGCGGAAACCAGCCTATCATAGACCACACCCCTTGCAAAGCTCGGTCACATTTCCCCCATCACTATGAAGAGGATGCAGTGATTAGTTTTCGGTTCGGAAACCTATCGGCGAGAGGGTTCCCGCGCCGCCATTTCAGCACCGTTCAAAACTGCAGAGCAATCGGGTTTTGAAGCTCGGTCCAGGGGGTGCGGTGTCCTACTTCATGCGACCTACGGTAGCCGTTGAGACGGCGGAGAGGGCAGACTGGAGTTCGAAGGGGACACCTGCATACAACAACGTCTACCCCAAGCCAAGAAGAAAACCACGCGTAATGAATGTCGTTGCCGATGTGCGGCGGCCAATTGTGACCTTAAGAGCGAGCGCTCATATATGTATGTTGTTGCCAATGATACGGCGGCCAATTGTGACCTTGAAGCGAGAGAGAGAGCGCACGCGTATGTTTGCTGTCGGTATGTGTGCTGTTGCCGATGATGCCGCCAACTGTGACCTTCAAGCGCGCGCCCATTTCCGTCGTCGTCGACCCAGGTGCTCGCGAGCGGGCTGTACTCCACCAAGTACATCGGGGGGTTCCACATCTCCAAGCAGAGGCGGGTGGAGAGCGACACCCCGGGGCCGATACAGCTCGTGCCCGCCGACCGGCAGAGGAGGGCGCTGACGCTGGTGCTGAGGGTGGTGACGGGAGACGAGCCGGCCGGGGGCGCAGCCTTCCTTCCCGGAGAGGAAGACTTCTCGAACCTGGCGGGCTGGTCAGGGTCCTGCGCGGGGCTGGGGCAGTACTGCTACGGCGTCGTGCCGGTGGACGTCTTGAGCGAGGTAATGTGCAGAACGCGCGCCGGCACCGCTTGATAAGTGGTACCAGTTAAGATGTTGGGCCTCAAAAGAGTCTATTAATCTATTAATCTAACAACTTGGCCAACTATGAACAGGTGTTCTGTCGATTAGCCTATCCCACACTAAAATCTGTCTAGCCACCGCGGGGGTAGTCTACCCCGTAGAGCCTCGGCCGAACTAAATAAG